TCCAATTCATCTTCCTCCGCTTCGTCACCCAATTCATCTTCTTCACCTAACACATCCGCTTTGTCATCCAATTCATCTTCCTCCGCTTCGTCACCCAATTCATCTTCTTCACCTAACACATCCGCTTCGTCACCCAATTCATCTTCTTCACTTACCGCATCCGCTTTGTCATCCAATTCATCTTCCTCCACTTCGTCACCCAATTCATCTTCCTCCGCTAAGGCATCCCCTTCACGCTCCCCCCCCACGGCGACGTCCGTGGTGAACCGCCCTCGCGTGTTGGCGCACCTGAGCACATCGCAGACGCTGAGGAAGAGATGCTTGGGTCTGACCACATGCTGGTTCCCCCGCAGGAATACATTCTGTAGGCACTTCAAATTTCTGTACCTCTGCAAAATGGAAAGGAAGTACGAATAACATCGACTAGAGGTGGGGGGAGAGAACGAAGACGACACATCCTCCCTCCTCAAAGCCTTCTTATTGTATTGCTTCAGCCAGTTTTTGTTATCGAGGAGGTAAAACAATTGCACCGGGTGGTTAATGAGATTAGAACGGAGATCCAGAACCTTCAGATTTCTGAACACACTCAATCCTTTTAAGTTGGTTAGTTTATTCCCTCGAAGGTAGAGAGTATCCAGGGAGTTAAAAAAAAGAAGCATAACATCTTGCTCCGTCTTATTTGTGATAAAATCTTTTATGTGTCCTTCATCGGAGTACCCTCCTTCGACGCTTCTCTCTCGATTCTTTTTATTGATTATGTGCAGGTACCTCTCAAAGGTTGTCAGCTTCTTTATCTTGTTGAAGCTCACATCGAGGAATGCCAACCTGTTTAGCGGCAAGTCTCTATTCGTGTAAAACACTTTTTCATTTAGTACGTGATTTGTATACGTATCATTGTAGGAAGAATAGGGTGAATCTTCTCCTTTGTCTTCGGGGCAAGAGGTCCTCGTAGGGTTTATACCGCCGTTATGTTTACCCACATGGTTTATTTCACCCGGATCGATGTAATCCCTTGGCACCTTTTTCTTCTCACTCCCCCCCGATAACTTCTTCACCCCCTTAAAACATATATCCGTTAGGTCGTTATGGTGAGCTATTATCTTTTCAGTCGAGGAAGGGATGAAATCTCCATCCAAGGACGTTAAAAAATTGTGTGAGATGTTTAAGATCTTCAGATTTTCAAAACATCTGAGTCCTTTTAGCGATCGGATGGAATTGTTGGATGCGTCTAGATAGGTTACGCTCGTGTAGTCTGCGTTCTGCTCGATCAGCTTCTCTAGGATCACGTCAGAATCCTCCAGGCTCCTCAGGTTGCACTTTGACAGATCCAGCAGCATCTTAGGCAGAGGAGAGCAATGAGAGAAAAGCCAACCGGAGAGGAGCCAACTGGAGACGAGCCAACCGGAGAGCTGCCTCAGCTGAGCGGTAGGCTATCCACACCTTATGCCGCTTAACCGTATGTGGGGCTACTGTGCCGTCTTCCCTGCCCGCCGCGCACCGTATGCCTGCTCACTAAGCAAAAGGGTGAAGATTCCCGCGGGGGAGGGCGACTTTGCTGACACGATACGGCTTACACGATCCGGGTGGCACAATTTAACCTCGCCGCCGGACCGCAAAGACAACACGCACGGCTTCCCCCTCCGCGGCAATGGACAACTTACAAACAGCCAAATAATCAAATTTGAAATTTGTAAAAACTGGAACACAATGGCGAACACGTTAATTATAAAATGGAAAAAAAGAAAAAAGAAAGAAAAAAAAAACACCCAACTAACAGCCAACAAACCAACACAAGTGTGCAGTGTGCGCATGCACGAGGGAATACAACTCTTCGGCGGAATACGTTCGCGCATTTTTTGCGGCGCTCTGGAGGGGGGAAAAAATTGAAAAATAAAAAAATGCGAAATGTACCGAAAACGCAGCAATGCAGCGGCTCAGCCGGAGGATACACCCACGGGGCAACGTTTCCTTTTTTTTTTTTTTTGCTCTTCCTTACTGCGTTTTTTTTCCCCTGGCGTGTTTGCAAAAAAATATGACCATGTGCAGGCAAAAAGGAGAAGGCCGCGGCGAAGAATGCATTTTAAGTCATTTTAATTGTTTCCCCGGAAAGCGGCCCCCCAAATGTTGTAACGTAGGGCCATACACACAAAAGGAGTGGATTAGTCAAACGCAGCCATCACCGCGTCATCATCTCGTCACCATCGCGTCATTATCGCGTCACCGTCGCATCACCGCTGCGGAATGCCTTCATAAAACATGCAGTTGGCCCTTTACCTCGTAGTGGGAATTCTCTGGGGATGCACAAATGCATTCATGAAAGGAGGATGCACAAGAGGCGAAGAAGAAAAACATAGAGGTCTCTTTCGCGGCACAATTGGTATGCTGAACAGTCGGTATGTCGTAGTCCCATATTTATTTAACCAAGCAGGGTCTGCACTTTATTATTACCTCTTACGGAAGGGCGACATATCTTTGGTAATGCCTCTGTGCAACGTCCTCTCCTTTTTCTTCACCTTCCTCACTGAAATGATACTCTTTAAGAGGGGCTTCTCTTTCAAGTCCTTGCTTGGGTTGCCCTTCGTCACCGCCGGGCTGTTTCTCTGCCTGGGCGGTTAGGGGAAGCACATCCGTCAGAGGCACCACGACCACCACAGTCACCACAGCTACTACGATCCATGTGGCTTCCATACTGTGGATCCCTCCCTCCGATCGGCTGCTGCACCGCAACACCGTAGGGAACTACGCGCCAGGCTCACCTTAGCCAAAGTGATAAAACGTACCACCCGCGGAAAGATAACTTGCCGCTTCGCATGACAGCGATGAATCCTGTGCAGAGAAGGACCAGAACGAATTGTAGAGCAACCCCTCCAAAACACGGAGAACACACACAAAAAAAAGGATTTTCCCCCCATGCGTAAGTCCACCTTCACCGGAACTTAACACCAAATGAGCAAGAGATCCAAAATTTTAATCGCCCTGGGGAATGAAATAAAAAGGGGAGTTGCGTCCCATCAGTGCAAAGGGGACGTCCCCAGAATGTACGTGAATTACTTGCGCCAAAGGTACAACATGGACGAGTGGCTCCACGTCAGTAACGTTAACTCGTTCATTTGCGAAAAGGACAACATCGTGTTAATCAAACCAGTAACTTCCTTGGAAAAGAACAGTGGATTGGTAATAAAAAATATCTTAACTTATTTAAATTGTGAAGATTTAAAAAATGTGTGCATAATTTTACCTGACTTGTACAGGTCAATTGGCAAATTTAAATACAAAAACTACACCAAAATTTATGAAAAATTGGGCCCAGATTTTTACAACCTCTTGAATTCAAACATAATTAACAACGTCTTAAATAACAACTTTCTGCAGCTATGCATTGGTGTGAGTAATTATCCAAATGAAATAAAAAATGCCGTTGCGACAACATTGAAGGAATGCTTGAGCGATGGGGAGCTGAAAAAATTTTTTAAAACTTTTCAGCTAGCTGACGAATATTTTAATAAAAAAATTATCAACAGCAAGGTGATAACAACCAATTATATTCACCTTAAGGAGAAGTATCCCGCCATGGAGGCTCAGAAGAACTTCAGGAGGAGCACGGCCAGTCGCAGGTACATCCTGGATGTCTATCGCCACATGTACAAGTAGCGCCCTTCAAGTGTGCTTAGTGTTGAGAGGGGGAAGAGGTGTGTGCGTATTCGTCTGCGTTTGTGTGTGGGGGGTGGTAGGGTCTTCCTCCTCGCGGTGCGCTTGTATGGCCCTCCCGAGTAGCTTTCCCACTTCGCGTTGGTTCGTTTGACTGTGCCAAGGAAGAGAGGCATCATGGTGAGCGACCCATCCATCACCTTTCTATGTACACCTGCTCTGTTAGCCGTTTTTTTTTCGTTTGTTTTGTTCACTTGGAGTGGGATAAAAGGATGAAAAAGAAGAAAAAATAAAAAAAACTACAGGGACTAGCGAGGCAAACTCACCGTATAGCAACAAAACATTACATGCAGCTTCTCACGACCCCGTTGGATTAGTCAAGCGATGATTAACCCATCCGGGATGCACACCGCAGTGATCACTTGCGACCTACAGAAGAACCGGCTTACACCGGCTGTTTATCTCCGCAGTGACACCATCAAACACCTCGTTGATCTTCATACTGATGTCTTCGCAGGTTAAGCTCTTAATAAAACCATCGCATTTGATGAGCCAGCTGTAATACTCACTTATGCTGGTGCTCGCCGCTCCTCTCATGTGACTAGCATCCTTCATCAATTTAGCAACTTCGTTTGTGTTTTTTTTAATTGCGTAATCGCAGTCCTTGAAACTGAGTTGTATGCTGTTGTCTTCTCTTAAGCTGTGCCTTCTATTTTCTATGCTTTCCTGCACCCTTCGGAGGGAGGAGAGGTACGTTTCCTCCACGATGTTTGTGCCATGGCGGGATTTTGTCATTTTGGGGGGTGTGAAAAAGGCGGAATTGCCCTTGATACTACGCGGTGACACTACAACGCGGTATCACTATAATGCGATATCACTATAATGCGATATCACTACAATGCGATATCACTACAATGCGATATCACTACAGCCCGGTATCACTACTTCCCGGTGCCCACTGGTCAACATTCCGACATATAGGCGAGGGGTCAGATCAACCGGACGCGCCAAATAAAGCCCAACGGCAGTTGCACCTGTGGGAGGGAGAGACAACCAAGACAACCGTCTCTACAGCGAATTGGGAAGGGACAACAATTTTTAAATTGGCTAGCTGGGAAAAAAAAAAAATGACAAAGCTGTAGGAGAGCAAATAAAATAACTACTGAGCAGTCTTTCACTTCTCCACAAATGGACCCCCACTGACATGCGCTGCTTCCCCAGTTGGATATATGCCTACGTTTTCTTCCAGCGAATAGACGAAGACAAATATTAAAAAGGGAACAAAAGGGGCAATCCACAGTCAGCAGCTGGAGTATAAAAAAACAAAAAAAAAAAAAAAAACAAAAAATTAAAAATACAAAATACAAAAAATTAAAAATAAAAAATACAAAAAATTAAAAATAAAAAATAGAAAGTAAAAAATAAAAACATACGAGGCGTACTCAACATAGATGCCCAAATGAGCAACCCGAACGTAGGCCACTGAGAGGGGCGCTTATGCAGTGGCTTCAGAGATGGTGGGGAGGGCCAGGAGGGGTTACAAATCCCTAACCCTATCAAATGGCTCAAGAAAAAGGAAAAAACAAACTTATGAGCTGCGCGATTAGCGCTTGATAGTGATGTGAATTATGTGTCACCTGATTTTAAGCAGGAGCCTCCACACCACCCCTTACATTGGCATTGCTACCACTCCTGTCACCTTCCACACGTGCAGCGGCATCTTCCGCATCCCCGCCCGGGTCGTACCGTATGGGGATGCGGCGCCTCTCCCCCTTCTCTCCCCCCTTGTTGTTGTTGTTGTTCTTCTTCTTCGTACTGGCGTATAGAAACGAGTTGTCTTTATAATTTCGCAGCCCCTCCACGATAAGGCACGCTTTGCACACCGGATTGGACGTGTACGCGCCACAGCGCGCGCACATCTGGAGCACCTTCCTCCTGCTACTGTTGTGATAAAAGAATTCGGAGGAGTGAATAATGTTAAGTATGAACTGCGGATTAATCATCTCCAGCTCCTTTATGAAGCTTCGTAAGTTTCCTCGGAATGAGTTAGGCGAATAGGTACACTCTGTGCTGAAGTAGTCGAGGTTTTTGTAAAATGCGTACAGGACGATTTCCTTCTCGTAACACCACATAAGGGGCTTCAGTCGGGGCAGGAAAAACGCATGTTCCTCTTCGGGTGGGGCGGACTCCACATGGGTGGCAGGAGAAACGTCTACTAGTCCATCTGGATTGTCCGTTCCACTTGGGGGCCTCTGCCCACACTCGCCGCCACAGCATGGGGTCACGTTTGCGTTGTCCAATTCTTCGTTGTCCACTTCTGCGTTGTTCACTTCTGCGTTGTCCACTTCTGCTTTCTCCACTTCTGCTTTCTCCACTTCTGCTTTCTCCACTTCTGCTTTCTCCACTTCTTCCTTCCCCACATCCCAGGCGCCCCTTATTGGCGCCATCGCGTCCACCCCCTTGGCCAGCTTCTCCAGGTCGCCCCTGCACATATTCATAAGAATCGTCTCTGCCAAATCGTCGGCATTATGCCCCGTGACTAGCTTGGTCGCATTAAATAATAGTGCACCCCTCTCCATTGCCTGTCTACGAAACACACCGCAAACGGTGCAGTTGTTCTTCTTCCCGATAAAACTAACAACGGTATCCATGGTATAGGAGAAAATATCCTCGAACTTTAACACTTTAAGAGGCAAATTGTATTTTTCCTGAAGCTTAAATACAATTTTTAGTGAATCATCACGGTATCCTTTTATCCCCTCATCGATGGCCAAGAGGAATAGATCCCATTTGTAGTTGTGCTTCTTTTTGATGTGAACAAGTACGTGTGCTAGGACGCTAGAATCTTTTCCACCCGACACGGCAATGCAGATTTTGTCCTTCTCATGAAACATGTTTTTCTTTAGGATGGTCGCATGCACGTCTTCTTCGAAGCCGTTCGTGAAGCAGTCCCTACAGAGCTTCTTCCTGTTGGAGGGTTTCATCATGCACACGTTTTTCTCCCCGCACTCCTCGCAGGGCGGCTTCGTGTACGCCCCGCTATCCATCGTGCGGGGGGGAGGAGGCGCGCAGCGGTAGAGCGGTAAGGCGGTAAAGCAGTAAGGCTGTTAAACTGTTACGTCTCTACTATTCTACGCTTCTACTAATCTACACTCCAATTGGGGTCCTCCCTTTGGGGGGAGCCTTCCCGCTAAGGAGACCCGCGAGCCACTGCGCCCACGCAGCTTCTCCCCCAACGGATGTCCCTTTCTCAGATAAAACTCTTGCCCCGTAATGAAAGCGTTATGACTTATGCGCGCCTTAGCCTTCTCATACGGATGAAACGCGGAGGGGGGACTCAATTTGGCTTCCCCCTGCTTTTCTCTACTGAGTTGCATCCTTTTGGCCCTTACACTCCTGGAGGGGAAAAAACGAAACAGCGTTGAGTAGAGGAAGTGGGAGTGGCAGCAGTGGAAGGAGCGGACAGCACGAGGTTCAACCGGAGGAAGCTCAACGGGGCGATTTTCGACGGGTGGAAAATACTCAACTGAACTGAACTGAACACCTGTTAGGCCATGCACCGCGGAAGTGCCCCGAGGAGTCGGCAAAAGGTAGGCTCGATCAATCTGCTCCGCAATGCAGAAGTAGCCAAATTAAAAGGGCACAAAAAATTAGGAAAGTTTAAAAGAGAAAGAAAAAAAAATCGAAAAAGGTAGTTAAAGCGGGCACAAAGTTGGCATCGTCACGGGGATAAAGGAAAAAGAAAAAAAAAAAAATGTTCGAGCAACGGGTCCTGCTCCCCCGAGGGGTATATTCCTCAAGGTGGGGTAGCAGCTAGTCGGAGTATCGTTTGGGCAGCTTCTTCCTCTGCCTCTTCCTCTGCCTCTTCCTCTGCGGGAGAACTACCCCATAAAGTAGAGCACTCCTGAGAGCAGAAGCAGGAGGAGCAGACCGTGGCCAATGGCTGCTGCCGTCCCACCATTGCGGATCGGAGATTGCCCATTGTAATCTACATCACTCGTACGATTCCCATGATCTGGAGTGGCAATAAACTCAAAGTCAGCAACCAGTCTCTTTCCCTCCAAAACACATGCACAGAAGAAGTGCATATTCTCCCTTATCGTCTCGGGAGCACGGGCATAAAAAACCTTGTTGTAGTGATCTAAGACTAAATCTGTGAGGGGAAGCTTGGACTGAAGTTGCTCCCTCTTTCCAGTGAGGTTAAATCCTTGTATGAAGCATTCCTCAGGTTCGATGGCAAAGTTGGATGGGCACTTAAAGCCAATAAACTTCCCTTCCCTAGCTCTAATTCGACAAATGACATCGTCTTTATTTTCAGTGGTCTGGTTAGCGTCTGATTTATACCCCTTAGTGAACAAGGGCGATGTATTTTCGGTGAAGTCACAGCCGTCGATTTTTTTCGGAAGGGGTGGAATTATAACTTCGACGATTCCGATGTTAAAAATCTCTTTATCGTATTCTTCTCCTCCTTTCTTATTTCGGACCCTAATTTTGGCTTTATTCTGGCAGAAGCAGTACACTACCTTCTCTTCGTTGCCCAGATTTGGTGGGACACGAAAGGATACATCGTCGTAGTTCTTCCTTTCTGTTGAGTTGTATTTCTTTTGTTTTCTCTTCATAATGGCGGCAGCTCCGTGAACATATTTCACCAATTGCTGTCCGTTTGCATTTATCGATTTAGACGTATATACATTTTCAAAGCAGTTGTCTGGAAGCAATTCGTAGTTTTGTGTTTCCGACCCACATTTTATGACGACTTTATCTAGCACATCCGGTTTTAGACTGCATATCTTCTCCTTATTCGCCGTTTGACCTTTTCCAAATTCGAGACTTATCTCGTGGTTGAAGTCACATGTGTGTGTGAATCCAAGCGCCGGGGTGGAGAACCACCAGATGAGCAGCGGCCCCCACAGGGAGGCGTTCCTCACAAAACGCATGAGGGGGGAGAGGCATGAAGGGGTAAGAAGCGGCATGAAGGGGGAAGAAGCGGTATGAAGGGGTAAGAAGAGATAAGAAGAGGTAAGAAGGGATAAGAAGGGGTAAGAAGCGGTATGAAAGCGTAAGAAGCGGTATGAAAGCGTAAGAAGCGGTCCGAGGCTACGTGCCCGTGCTCCCCGTGCGATGCGTGAGAGGGGGCGAAAATTCCAATGCCATCTCTGTCTGTCTCTTCCGGTAGTGCGCCGTGTTACACTTCGCGGGGGCTTACCGAACACGCATGCGCTTGTGCGTATTCATTAGGTATTCATTCGTTTGTACTTCCCTTTTCACCTGTCACTAAATGGAGGAAAATTTTTCTGGAAAAATACGCATACCAAGGGAGGGGGTGGGGGGGGAGCACCCCCCCCTAGGGCAGTCAGCGGAGATGCATATTGCGACGCGCGCAGCAACAGGTAACATATCGGCGCTGATCTGCGCTTGCAAGGGGGTGCAAAACGAGCAGGGCGGCAAATATCGCGGGGGAGAGAATATCATGGGGTGGCAATTATCCCGGGGCGACAAATATCCCGGGAGGCGAATTACACACGGCGATGCTCTGCCCGTTTCACAGACGACGCTCCATATGCACCAACACCTTTGTGCACACTGCGAAGAGGAAAAAAAAAAAAAAAAAGTATTCCCCATTGAGTCGCCTCGTTTCAACGTGCCATCCCCCAGCAATCTTTACTTGACGGTTTGCTATGGGCGTGCTATGGGCGTGCTATGGGCGTGCATTGGAGGAGAGTTTATCGCGCATAGGTCGACGCCAACCATGACATGATGCACTCCTCGCGCTTCTCCCATTCTGCCGCCTCACACCAAACAGCAGTCGCTTACCAAAACAAATGCGTTTATTTTAATACGGTACTACAGGTTGGGGGGGGGACAATAAAAATGACATTACATTAGCAAAAGGAAAGGAAAAAAAAGGGAAGCAGCCATAAGTGAGTCATTCGAACACGAAGGGGTATGCATCGGTATGCATCGGTATGCAGCGCTACGTAGCGGTACAAAACGGTTGGAAGTGATGTTTTACAAAAAAAAAAAAAAAAAAAAAAAAAAAAAATGGCCTGTGTGAGGATTAACACTACAACGCGCTGTTAAATGGATAGTTACGCATGCAGGCTAACCGCCTTACGTCTCCACTGCGCCGCCTTCCACACCGCGCTCCTCACAGGCAAAGCGCTAGAAGCAGAGGTACAACCAGCACGTACAGCAAACCGAAGTGAAAGGCAAAGGATTGGTAATTTTCATAGAGAAAGTTTGCCTGGAGGGGAGGCGCCTCGGGGGCATCCAGGCGAAGACAGAGGCAACTGAACCCAGGGGGGTTCTCATTTCTGTGAAGAGTAAAAGTAGCAAAGGACATCCTCCGGTTCCTATCCATATGAAAGGTAACACGATGCTTAATCATCTCGCTCATCCTTACGATGCTATCGTTATAGAGAACACTCTCGAAACAATTAGAGGGGTACATCTCATAACCGGGGGGGCATACCAACCCTAAGTATACTTCCTCCTTCGTTATCTTCACGTTGCAGACGATGCCCTTGTCCTTGGCGTCGTCTACCTGTCCGGGGGTGTAGAACTGCGAAAAGGCCGTTTGATTTCTCCACGAGAGTTGCTCTGCACTAAGGCCGGAATTGCGCCAGAAGGCCCAATCGCCGGGGTCCCCTTCTGTAGTGTCGTCGGTAGCAAGGACGTCGCCCCGTACATCGGTTAGGGGTTCCCCACCCGCCGTATGGTCGAAGTCACAACCAAAGACGATATTTTTCCTAAGGTGCACGCGCATGATACCCCTGGCACCCATCCTGTTGTTCCGAAACGTCAAGCTGTTATCACACGTGCACTCAAAAATAACATTTAGCCAAATAGTCGGTGGGATGAAAACCTTCCTGATGCTTAGCGAATCGATGTCTCGATTTTCCAACTGGACCCCTTTTAACACGTCACTCAATTTTTTGCTATTCCCGTTTGGCAGCCGGACTGTCTCGAAGCAGTTCATCGGTCTGATTTCCACTCCGAGGTAGTCCTCCGTGTTCTTCTTGGGGCACACAAACGTCAGCACGTCGAATCCTTTAGTAAACTGCACACAGTGTCGCACTCCTCCATCGCGACGGTCATCGCGACGGTCATCGCGACTGTCACCGGGGGGGGTAACTCCACCAGAGGCACCATCAACAGGGGAAACACCCCCAGGCATCTCCGCCCCACTCAGCAGAGCCACTATCTCATTCTCACTAATGGACACATTTAAAGGCGCTTTCGAAAAGTCACATGTCCCTTTCATCTGGTTCGCCAACTGAGCGAAGGCGTTCTGGGGGGGAGGAATCCCTTCTTCGGGGTTGTCTCGTGCTTGGATGAACCTCTGCTGCTGCTTCTGCACGGGGAGACGTTGCACTAAGAGACTCTGCAACAGGACAAGACGAACGAAGGAAAAGTGGCCGATCTTCATTTTCGCCTCTTCCGAGGTAGCCTCATATCACCGATTGTTTTGTCCCATACGCCAGCTGCGTTTTTCGAGGTGGAGGGCTGCACAGGTGGGTACCTACACAGGGGGGTGTTTAGCATATCGGCACTAGCCAGGCAGGCTTTCTTTTCTTGTTGCTCCCTTTTCTTGTTGCTTCCTCCCCTTTTGGCCGTGCGTGTCTCCCTTCGGAGGTGAAGGTGCCACGGAGCGACATGAAAGGGGTTATAGTGAGGGCGAAGAAAGGGGTAGGTTCATTCGGCTAAGTAGCAATGGGGGGGGGATTCGCGGGGTAGAAGGAAAAAAAAAAAAAAAAAACATCAAGAAGTCATCAAAAAGTACTCAAGAGGAAGGAATTACAAATGGGATGGTCCCAAACGGGTAGCTACGAAGGAGAACTCCTCCTCCTTTTTTTGCGCCCTTCTAACGGCTTCGTCTTCCTCCGCGTTTCCTTCACCAGCATTCTTCATGCGAGGAAACTCAGGTAGGAAAAAAAACGGAAAATGGGCGGAACGAAGGGACATCCCTCAAGCTGCCAACCTTGCAACCATGTCGTAACGGTGGCGGTAAAATATATGCTCTTTCAAAAATGCAGAACAAAAAAAAAAACTCAGCAACATGTATAATAGTTTACCACACTTTCGCGGTTAAGTTTTTTTTTTTTTTTTTGTAAGAATTGCCTGTTCTGCTCACATACATATGCATAGCTGCCTCCCTCTCGTGGGCTGTGGCTTCCCCAAAAGTGGAGGATCCCCAGACGTTCGTTTTTCTGAACAATTTTACAGTTGCAAAAAAGGACTACTCACTGGTTGGTAGGCTAATTGGTCGGGTCCTTACTCTATATTATTTTTTCCCGCGCAATTCTGGCCGCCCTTTTCACTTACGGGTAAATTTGCTTAGTTAATCCAGTACATTAACCGTGTTGCGCTTGTGTTGTCACATTTTTAGTGTTCTTTTGGTTCTTCAATTTGCATCCTGCTTTGACGAGCTTCCTTTTATTTTCCACTCCGATTGCTTCTCCATCGTGGGGAAGAAAAAAAAAAAAAAAAACGTGCATGCGTAGTGAGACTATGAAACTTATGTATATATGTAACGTGACACGACACGTGCTGTTTTGCTCTTGAGGGGGCCGCCTACATCGCGAATTCGATCCCGCCTCGAGGTGGCAAAAAATGCGCCCTCCTCCACCCAAAGTTTGGCGCATTACGTAGAAAGGGGGAAATCACTCCAAAGATGAGACACGATCAGGGATCACTTTGAGGGTGGAAAAAGGTATCATCTCTTCTTCACCTTTTTTTTTTCTTTTTTTTTTTTCCTTTCCTCCGCCGCGTAACTTTTTTCATCATTGGTCAACCCATTCCTGCCGCACTGAGACGGTCCCATCCTTGTTTTCCCCCCAAGGCACATATATTTAGATATAATTTTGCATGACAATTGGGGAATGGGAAGCAGAAAGAACGTCGCAAGTTTGTGCGATCGATTATCCTCTAGGCCGCATGTCCTTGCGCAGTCCGTCCGTTCATATGGCACGTTCATACAGTGCATACAACGTTGGTGCCTCCAGCGCAGCATTGTCGTAGGGATTTCATATGTAATCCTTTCCCCTTTTTTTCTTTTCTTTAATTCTACCCGCTTTGCAGTGGAGAAAGGCAACATTTCACTTTTCCTTTTACGCTCTTCACGCAATCGAAGAAGAGGAGCATGCCCAGATGATCACTCGAGCGGTTAAGCGAGCCGTTAAGCGAACCGTTAGGGAAAACCACTAAGCAAACCGCTAAGGCAAACCGTTCAGCGATTTTACAGCTTCTCCTTCTGCTCGCAACTAGGAAAAGGGAGGAAAAGCCCCTCTCCAGTTGCAACTTCGCCTGACTATTGTATTATTTGACTTTTTTTTTCCTTTTTTCTTTTATTCTCCACCGCTTCGCTGTTCACTCTACCGCTTCGCCCCGTTACCGCTGTTCGCTTCACCCACAAAATGAAGGAATCCAGCCTGTACCGATTCAAGGACATCAAGCCGGTGGTGAACGCGAAGGAGCTGGTAGACGTGGTGCTCTCAAGGACGCAGAGGAAAACACCGACAGAAATACACAAGGGATTCAAAATAACCAGAATTAGAAACTTCTACATGAGGAAGGTTAAAATGTGCCAAGAGCTCTTCCGAGAGAAATTGCAGACCACAATAAATGATTTCCCCAAATTGGACGATATCCATCCGTTCTACTCCGACCTGGCAAACATCCTGTACGATAGGGATCACTACAAGTTGGCCCTGGGACAATGCAGCTATGTAGTAAAATCAGTAAAGCGCATCTGCCAGGACTATATCAAATTATTGAAGTTCAGTTCATCTCTGTACAAATGCAAGATGCTAAAAATCAGTGCGCTAGGACGTATGTGTAAAATGGTGAAAAAATTACAGCCCAGTTTAGTTTACCTGGAAGAAGTGAGACAGAACTTAACCCGGCTCCCATCCATAAACCCTCATAAGAAGACCATTCTCCTAGCTGGTGCTCCGAATGTGGGAAAGTCTTCATTTATTAATATCGTCTCTCGAGCTAATGTGGAGGTCCAGCCTTATTCCTTCACCACGACCAATTTGTATGTCGGCCATTTTGATTATAACCTGAACCGATTCCAAGTTATCGACACACCAGGATTGCTTGACCGATCTTTGGAAAATAGAAATACCATCGAGATGACGACCATCACTGCACTGGCTCACATTAACGGAGTTATCCTTTTTATTATCGACATAAGTGAGGAATGCGGTATGTCCATTAGGGAACAGGTCAATCTTTTTCACTCAATTAGGACTCTCTTTCGGAACAAGTCAGTCGTAATCGGGTTCAACAAAATAGACAAGACGAATCTGGATGGTCTTTCTGTCGATAATAAAATGCTCATCAAACAGATTATCGATGATTCGAAGGTGCCCGTGAAGTTTTGCTCCTTCAGTACACTCACTGGGGTAGGGGTGGAGGAAGCAAAAGGGGTTGCTTGCGATATGCTGAAAAGTGACCAGGCTGCTGAGTTCCAGCTGGATCGTGAAAATTTACTCAACGCCAAGTTGCGTGAGCGCAGGGTCAACGAGCAGCGCGCGCCTTTCATTCCGGAGTCCGTCATCCGGGAACGCCAGGAGAGGAGGCAGCGGGGGGAGGAAAAACAGGGCACAGCTGCAGTGGCTACAAGCGAGGGTAACATGGCAGACGCCGCGAAAGTGGTTGACGTGGACGGCAATACCATCGCCGACCAGAGCGCCGCTAACGAGAGCACCCCCCTCACGATGCGCGAAGCGAAGCTGAAGAAGAAGAACAAGTCCAGGCAGAGTTACCTGAGCAACCGCAAAGACGACCGCGTCCTGCAAATCGATCTGCAAAACGAGCGCGGAGGCGCGGGGGTCTACTCTGTCGATGTCAGAAGCGTGTACGACATAAAGGAGGAGCACAAATATGATGTGATCCCCGAAATATACAATGGAAAAAATATCAGCGATTTTGTAGACTTGGACATAGAACAGAAATTACTCGAGTTGGAAAAGGAAGAGCAGGAAATGTTCGATCAAGACGCAGAGATCGATCCCATGTGGTTTAAGACGAAAAGGATTTTGGAGCGCATGGCTCTAAGACTAAAGGGACTCAAACTCAGTGCCAAATTAAATGAGGAGAAGCAACCACTGTATCATAAAAAAAACAAAACTATTGAAGAGATGGGCAAAAAATTGGATAGCCTGAAATTGGACAAGGAAAAGATACTCAGGAGTATGACCGAGCGGGCCAGAAGAAAGGGCACACTAAAGGGAGCAGCAAGGAATAATGGCACGTCCAAGAGATCTTCGAAAACCCTCCTAAACGTGGAGAAAGTGAAAAAGGACATTTTCAAGAAGAAGCAAATTAAGGATAAAGTCTATGGAGACCCAACGAAGAAGTCCAAGATTTTCCAGAGCACATCCACTGAGTTGCAGAGGAGAAAGGCGTACAAGCTGAACAAAGCTGCGTACAGGAAGATCCAAAAGGGAACGAAAGGGGAGGCGGACCGCTCCATCCCCGCGAAGAAGCCACGACACTTGTTTTCGGGCAAGAGGTCCATAGGTAAGACCTCTAGGCGCTGAGCCCCTGCTTCACACCCCCCGAAGGGGAAATAACGACTAGGAAAAAAAAAAAAAAAAAAAGTCACAAATGGCTAGGCAAAAGTTAGCCAAATTAGAAAAAGTTCGCAAATTTTCAAGAAAAAAAAAAATATTGCCTGTTAAGGCAGCTAGCCATTTTGAAATTTCTCTGCGTGTCCATTTCCTGCAAAGAAATTGGCTTCGTTTTTTCAGCCAACTTGCAGCGCCTATTTGTTTGCAAACTGTTTCCACCGAGTTTTACGCCACCCTTCATAAAAGCCTTTGCCGCTAACATTTGCGTTGACTTTTACGCTAACATTTACGCTAACTTTTATGCTAACTTTTATGCTAACTTTTATGCCCACCTGCGGGGGCAATCCGTCCGTCCCTTTGGGCGGGCCGCTTCCACTGCGTGGTTCAATTGTCGTATGCCTTTAATTCGCACCCTTTTGTGGCCCCAGACGAGGGTCCTCCCTGTTCGAGGCCGCTTTGGACTCCTCGCTTGGGGGAGGTGCAGTTCGAGTTGTATTTAAAAAAAAAACAGAAGGGGTTAAAATGGTACTCGCACGGGGGTAGGGGAGGTGCAAAGTCTACAGGCAATTTATTACCAAATGGATGCGAAAATGGTGCAAAAATGGTGAGAAAATGGTGAGAAAATGGTGAGAAAATGGTGAAAGAATGATGCGAAAGGTCTACAGGCTGCAAACTGCAAAGACAACTGCCCGAACGACTGTTCACACGTGTGCGCAGAGGACACTGTGATGTGTAGGTGCTACGGCACGGTCACAACCAAATTTCTTGTAAAAAATGGCCTACCGGAAGGGGAAAAAAAAGAAACATATGCACATGGATACACATGTACACATATATATAATATATGCCGACGCGCTTTGGTTGCCTGAGCTACTTGGGCACTCTCCCCGTCTCACGGCTACCCCTACGCAAATGTGGCACGCACACAGTTAGGAATGCTCCCCACAACATACACACATGTGGTCGTTCCCCCTCTGCTATCTGCTTCGACGTTACTCAGGGGTAGTTGAGGGGTGACACTCCCACTAGGACATGGCAAAAAAAAGAGGGAAAGAAAACGGAAATAGAGTTAACCAATACAAAATTAAGATTACACGTGAAGCTGGAGAGACGCTGCTACAATGCTGACGCGAGGTTGAAAAATTTACCCGAACGTGGCTGGCACACTGACTCTGGCAGTTTGCTTTCCCTCTTAATCTTTCCGGAAACAATCTTGTGAGGACAATTCACTGTATTCTCTCCGCTCATGTAGAAAGGTCATATTGGCAACTCATTAATGCTCCTAATGGAAAACCAACTGCTTCAGTAGCACATATATTTACACAGAATGGAAAAAAAGAAAAAAGATATGTTAAAGATGGACTGATATATTGCATTTGGGGGAATGGGAGGAGGTGACTCCCCTGATTGTGCACACACTTAATGTGTACGAAGTTGCGTTCGGAGGTGCGTGTCCACACGTGCACCCACTCATACATTTGCTGATGATGGGAAATAAAAAATGGCATGATATGGAAAAGACACAAGGTCATAGTGAAAAGTTGGACGGAACAGATGGATGGGGACAAAATGGAGAGGACCCACTGATCGGACAGATCGCACTGATCGCAGTGATACTCCCGCAAGGGGGACACCTCCCCGTTGGTTCATTCCGACGTGCCTTAAAAAGTGCTAACCTTATTGTGGTCATATTTACACGTGATAGAATTACTACCAAGTGGGGGGTGAAAGGGGGGGGGGAAGGGTGAGAAGTGCATAGCAGAGGAGGCATGAATAGCGGCGGAGGCATGCATAGTAGAGCGTCGGGGGAGCCGCTTCACGCGTGGTGCAACGACGTGGGATACGAGCGTGGAGTTCCTTGCCCCCCCTACCCCACCAACTCAATTGACTCTACTGGTAGGTTCACAAAACTGGAAGCAACGCAAAGTAACGAAACGAAACGCAAGGCAGCACACGGAAGCGTGTAAACACGTACATAGAAGATGTCTCACAAGGGGCACAACACCTTGTATGGGCAAAAACAGTACTGCAGCAGGCGGACTGATTAGCGGCTTCGTTAGTGGCGTGCCTAGAGGCCAATTCAGCTTTGCTGCCTGCGTAATCGGGGCGAACGCACGAGGGAAGCATCAACAAGCCAACTACGAAACGGTCGCATGAAAAAGAAAAATGCTCTCTCTGGTAGTGCAGTGATGAAATAAAACAGACAATCGGGGCGAATGTTTTCACCAAACGGATACGTATAAGGAAAAGAAAAAAAAACAAAAGAAGTTGCCCCTCCCCTCACAGACAGAAGATACAGAGCATATGGAAGATACAGAACATACAACTCATAACACATTTCGCATGCACGTGTTCATAAAATGTATACATCTGTCTTGGGCTGAAGAAGGGAGGAAAAAAAAAAAAACACAAACGAGACGGGGGAATAACCGTGAGAGTGAAGCAGTCGCTCAGGTGGGTGCGTGGAGAGGGGCGCATCGATGGGGTTGCGCATGTGGGCACGCTCCTCGGGTCGCTCTCTGCCTCATTCTCTCTCACGTGTACTCTCCGTTGCTCTTTTCGCCTGCACATCGAAGCAAGCCTTTTTTTTTTTTTTTTTTTTTTTTCGTACTGGTGTAATTTTATCATACATTGATATTCTTCCACTAAGTTGAGTAGCCAATCTGCCATTGAAATCGATTCTGTCGGTGTGAAGGGGGGTGGGGTGGGAGAAGGAAAGTGATGAATGAAAGTGGGAGAAGGAAGGTGGGAACAGTTCAAGGGGTCCATCCATTAACACACATACGCACATGTGCACACTTATACCGTCATACGCTGATACGCTCATATACATGTCTGTATGTATGTGCACTGTTCACTGGAGACAGTCGCGCCTTTCACGCCACTTTCGCAAAAGGGTATACTATACCTCCGTAGTAGGGTGACAAGCATGGCCGACTGACCGTTTTGCCGAATAAGGTCATGCAAGAAAGACTCACCAATTTTCGACGACTGCGTGATTAAGTCATCCAGTCCGTTAATGCTAATTGCGCTGATCAGCGTGGAGTTCCGCTTTAGCAGATCGTCAAGTCTGTTCGTGAGGGGGTTGCTGCGTTGGGGTGGAGATACAAAGATGAGTAAAACAGAGTGAGCCTCTCTATGTAATGAACAAACGAAGTGAGCATCTCCGTGTAATGAGCAAACGAAGTGAGCATCTCCGTGTAATGAGCAAACGGAGTGAGAATCTCCGTGTAATGAGCAAACAAGGTCAGCATCTCTGTGTAGGGCGTAGCTATGCACACGCTTTCAATTTGCGCATCCTCTCCAGATGGGCTCACGTTTTTAGATGCTTCCCATAGGCGAAGGTGGAAAACTGAGGCACGCTGTTCAGGTAGAGCTTGTAGTTGTTGTTGCCGCAGAATTTGGCAGCAAACCTGCGGGGGCCATGGTAGGGGGACGCGACATCGGTATACAGGCATCAGAGCAGCGGCAGCGTAAAAAACATGTAGCGGGGGGGACAGAGCAAACTGCTTTCTCTACCCCCGTGGCGAAACACAATTGTGTAAAAAACAGATCTGGCGAAGGCGCTTCAGTCAACCTGCTTCCTCCTTTTTTTTCTTTTTTTTTCTTCCATGTGAAGATATCATCGATAGATGAGTCCTACCTCATGGAGGTCCTAAAAGCTGAGTACTTCATTTTGTGCGTCGTTCATTTGCCAAGCCTCTGCTGGCACACTGTGGTAGGGGAGAGTCTCTCCTTCTCCTGAAGGCGGCGTAAAGATGAGCATTCGCTCGTTTGGCCTTTGGATGTACACTTCTTCCCTGTTGACGGTTTGTTCCTTTTCGGTGGTTCACTCGATTGGTAAACTTACTAAGATAGCTTTGGCCACTTGGCTCCTTTACCCCGTTGCTGAATTTAGCTTATTTTAGCTCATTTTAGCTGATTTCAATTTGGTACAATTTAAGGGTAACGCGGTTCAGTGCAGCTTGAAGTATTTTATTTATTTTTTTTTATTTTATTTTATTTTTTTTTTCGAGCCCAGCAATGTTAGCAGTAGTCCTCCCTCGAAACGTATGCGCTGCCCCTTGACACCATGTGACGCCCTTTTTACGCCACAACGTTGTAGAGGAGGCCACGTGGGCTTGAATCCCGGTTATATCCTCGTGCGCCCCGCGGACATAGGCACATCTCCCGTCCGTATGTTCAAGTGGACTCCTCCCCCGGGAAGATATCTTTCGGGACTTCTTCTCAAGGTGCTGAACCACTTCTTCCCCCATAACACACGGAGAGATGGAAGCATCTTTTTTTTTTTTTCTTTTTTGCACAACTGAGGGGAGTTCACTAGAGGAGCGACGCACGTGAGGAAAAGGCTCACCATAAAAGAAGTGGCCGCGTTTTACATAATGTATTTTGCCCCATTACCCTTTTTCTTTTTTCTTCTCTTCGCTGTTCCTTGATGCGAAGTTTTTGGCCAATGCATTCATCTCCACATGCTTATCACGCAGCACCTACTCGTTTTCCACTTATACTTACACACGTTTGTAGCACTCTCGACCGCCACGCTATTCCTCATAGGGATTCACTGCCCCGTCACATGGTCCAGTCGATGTGTCGCATCCACCCGCTGACATGCCAAAAAAAATGGCAACTTCTCGGCGCTACCATCATCACCTTTGTAGCCAGCCCCAATGTAGGGTCGGTACCTACAACCTATGCGTTTAGTTAACAGGAGAACGAACGGACGATCGGACGATCGGATAAGCGGAAGAGCGGATAAGCGGACGAGCGCACTTCTGGGTGGAGGGGAGGTCCCTAAACGGCACATGTGCATATTTATCACCCGTCACAGGGACCATCCGTGTCAGCACAGAAAAGGACGAAGTGAACCGGAAGCTAAGCGGGGAGAATGAGTTCTTTTTTTTTTTTCTTCTTTTTTTTTTTATCGGCGTTGTGGGGGAGAATTTCTAACTCTTGAGGGTCACCCATTGCGTCGCCAATCGGGTATACTCTGGTGATTACAAATGGGGGGAGCTCACCAAAAGACAAGTCGATAACACGATCTCCATCATGTCAGTTCTGTTCGTGCAGTGTCTCCATTGAGACATCCATTTTGTCACACCTACGGATGACGATACGAATGGGGGAAAAGTGTAACAGCGTCGGGCTTCGATCCTTTTTCGTCTTTGCTTTTTTTTTTTTTTTTTTTTACAATTTTCCTTTTTTCTTTTGATCCCGAGGTGGGAATCCAAATGGATAGCGTAAGTTCCGATGGAGTTTTTTACAATTGTAAAAGGCCTACCCATAGTGGCAACCGTGATAGGAAGGAAAAATGGTACAGCTACATCGTTTTCAACGCCAAGTTGGTCATACACGAAGGTAACCGTTTGTTCGTTTTTTTTCCCCTATGAGGCGGAATGAAGTGGGAGACCACGTGTCCATTTTTTCTTCCCACTGATGCGACTCTTCCGCGTTGCACACAACCGACGGGGAGCCACAATTCTGACTCAATCTTTACTCAATATGGCCTTAATTTGTCGCGCCTACCAGAAGGGGCCACTCATCCGTGTGATTTGTATGTCTCTCTCGGAAGACAAACCCGCTGGAAGAGTGATCAATTTTGTTTTGTTCCACCTCAGCGCCGAGCGGATGAGAGCACTCTTTTTTCCAGTTCTTTTTTCCCCCGTATATTCGATTTCAAGGCAGTCAAAAGGGCGAAAAACGGGGAGAATAAAAAAGAAAAAATATATATATATGCATATATATATATGTATGAAGAACAACTAGCCAAAATGCGCACGTGGAGAAAAAAAAGTATTAACAACTTGGCCACATTGTGCATGTAAAAAAAAAATATATATAACAAGTGGCACATACGTTAATGTAAAAAAAAAAAAAAAATTATGAACAACTAGCTAAATTATGATCTTAAAAAAAAAAAAACATAAAGAAGTGGCAAATTTCTCAAAATAAGTGGAACAAACCCATTGACGGATTGATGCATTTACGCGCAACTTCGCCAGCCCTACGAATAAGCAAAAAGGAACAGAGAAGGAAAGATAAGAAAAGGAAGCATTATAAGGCGCACGTCCTCTACACTGGAATGCAAACATCCGCAGGAGTAGCTAGACAATCGCACTGAGTACGCGGCGCGGGAAGCAAGCACGCTTTTTGTTATTCTTTTTTATTTTGCCTAACGGTGGAAAATGAAGCTTTTTGCCCTTTTAAGCGCTGTGCTCAGCCTGTACTTTGCCGCAGCACAGGTAAGGCCACGAAGGGATCAACCCTGTTCGTGATGTGACCCAAAGGGAAACAAACGCTTGAACGAGCAATATGACAGAATTGCAAACATCGTGATGGGAAAGAAGTTACGACACAGTGGGGAACTCCCTCTTCATTCTGTTTCCCCCCCTTTTTTTTTTTTTCCTCTTAACAGACGGGCGTAGTGTACGATGAGAATCAGACGAACGTTCAGTTCCATGTGACTTTGTGGTAAGCACACAGCTCTGTCTGTATCGGAGTGGGCCCTCGATCGAAACTTCTGTTGTTTGTGGTCTATCCACCGGTTTGGGTATTACCAGGGGAGGGGCCCCTCCCATCAATAGAAAACCAACCAACGAGCGGACACTGTATACATTGTTGCTCACTTTTCCACTGTGCTTATTTTTTTTTTTTTTTTTTTTTCTCTTTTGACCCCCTTGCCCAACGGACAGGATCGTACTGACGCTAATCACGGCATTTATCCTGGGGACCTACGCCACCTTCCAAATCGCCAACGTATGGAGCGGAAGAAGAGAGCACTTGCGAGTGATGTGTGCACCCCGAGTGATGAAGGGGGGTAGTCACCCCGCCGTTCGTCCATGCGGGGGTCACGGCGATATGTTTACCTATCTCCTTTGTGTTCATGAGTGTGATTATTTTGTTTTGTTTTGCTATATTTTTTTTTATTTATTTTTATTTTATTTCTTTTTTTTTATTCCCCCCCTACAGACGAAGGACTCGCTGCTGTACTCCAAAATCAACACCTCGAGCAACCAGAAATGAAAACGTCCAGCGGATCGTCAATCTAATCGTCGATCGGATTGGAGAGCTAATCTCTTCATCTTTTTTTTTTTTGTTCCATT